CTCATGGAAGAATTTTAAATTTTACGAAAATAGTGATAACGATAGAGAATATGTATAAATGTACTTTATATTTCAGCATGACAAAGATAGTTCTTTTGTGTAAATTGATACTCACTACTTGTGACAATAAACTTTGTTATGAAGGTTTTCGGCCAATTATTTTTTTTTATTATCATGAGATACCACGATAAGATAAAACTCCATTTAAAATTATCCACAAGATGAGAAACAACAATAAGATAAAACTCCATTTGAAATTAACCACAAGAGTGTAATTATTAGAGGAAGCACCGATAGGCACAAACAAGCTAATAGCACTTTTAAAGGTCAACAGGTAAGTAAGCTTAAGAATAAAATATATGTTCACGACCGACTTAATTTTTATTATAATGTTATTCCATTTGAAATATGTAAATACATGTAGCTTGATCTTGTAGACTGAACTTTGTTGATAACACAAAGACTGTTTGTATCATTTTTCGTGTAGAAATGGAAATTCAGACTACCATTTTGTCTACTTAACTGGATTTCGTCGAAGATGGCAATATAAAATATTAAAGATATTACAATTTGTTTATTTATTCATTTATTTTCTAAATATTTTCATAAATTTCGTAAAGTTCACAATCGAGCATATTAGTTTCACTTTCATTTTAATTAAATTTAATACTTGTTAGAAACTAAGTTAAGTCATATTCACTCAGTTAATTGTTTTGAAATGTATTTTATATTAACTTAATTGCTATGACAGCGTATTGAAGTTTCGATCGTAATTGCTGTTATTTGTATAAATTTTATTTCATTGAAAATTGTCAATATAAATAATTGGTTTTAGATGCATTTTCAGTTAAAATTGGTTCACACGAAATCAATTTTATCCAAAGTTTCTACCAAAAACATTTAGCACATACTTACAAATTGTTTTCAAGACAAGCCCCTCGCTCTAAATTTCATAGTATATGCCTTTTCATAGACTAACCTAGACATGGTTACATATCATACCGCAGATAAATACAGTATAAAGACTGAAACAAACAATTGAATAGTAACAATATTCTTGTGAGATCAAATAAAATTTTATCGGTCCTTAGTGACAGTCTAAATCATTCCAGTCTTCTAATGTAGTTTCTGTAGTTAAGCGCCAAACAAGCTTATACGTGAAACTCACGTGAACATTTTCATGTGATATTTACGTGAATTTAGATTTTTCAAATGCATTTTCACGTGAACTTAACCAAAAATAGACTGGTATTTTTTTTCATGATTTTAATTATTTGAAAATTTTGAAGTTATTTGAATAACTTTATTTTGAAAATTCACGTGAATTTAACATGAAAAAAATCATGTGATTTCCACGTGAGTTTCACGTATAAGCTTGTTTAAGGTGAAATTCACATGATGTGCAATTCACCTTAAATTCACGTGAGTAAAATTTCCCAGTGTAGACGAATTGTAAAGACACCGGTTTAGTGTATATGTTGATCTTCAAAGTTTTTGTGTTACAATGTAACTCAGAAGAAAAAAACAATGCCGAATGTGTTTTCACTTCGGAATGTTCATCTGGACTCGGGAGTTGAGGTAGGAACGATAGCAATAAAACAAAGACTTAATGCAAAATGTTCATGATTGTGGATGTGTAGATCAGAAAGACGATACTTGAGTTCTTTTACCCTCCCATTCATATTGCTGAGGTAAATAAGTTAGAAAACGCTGATCAAAATTGTTATAAGTCACACAAAAAACTGCTAAAGGGGTCACGCTAAGCGACATTCGTCCATCGTTCTACATAATACTGCTCAATTTGACACTGTATATATCTGAAAAGTAAATTTATATTGATAACATATTTATATCACAATTGTATCTATAAAGGGCACTGACACATATTTGAATAAATTCTTTGTTTGTAATATAAACTCTTTGTCATTTTGACATGTAACTCAAATTTGTGTTCGAAATAGACCCTATCGGTTCTGTTAGCTGATGTGGACAAACTTTCCGGTATTATTTCATGTAAAACTACTTCTAGGAGGAGATATTTTTATGGGCTAATTTGTGTTCATGGAAATTGTAGTGAAAACGAATCTTTTTATCTATATGACAATAGACATCACCTAGACGTGAGTTTTTTTAATCAGTTAGGGTTTAGTTAACCGTTTAGAATCACTGATGAAGTCGTACAGCTTTATTAAACCATGTTTAAAAATACCATTGAAACTATTCTATAATATCAACAAAACTAGATCGTACTCTTCTTCTCATTGACAGATTGAACAAGTTTCTATTATCAACAATTAATTCGTATATGATACACGTGAAATCTAGCGCGGTCCAACACAAGTCAAATCAAACGGATAACTTTAGCACGTTAAATATTAGCCTATAGCTAATACCGTGAGAAAGAGTGTTGAAAAGTACAATATGATACATGTTCTATATCATTTTAAACGGTGGTAAGGCTAGTATTCTTACTTCAGTTGGGAAAAGTTTTAATGGTGATATATTCAAAGTAATGCTTCATTTATACTGACGACGGGTTACCGTTAATTGTTATCCTGTTAGTTGACTTCATTTGTTTGTGTATCTCTAATTATTCTACAAATCAAAGTACTGAAGTACTGAACATCGGATGGCCACAAGTTCTGGTGGATAGTCACAGGCACTTGGTTCAGAAAAAAAAATCATATCTCTATATCTGAAAGTTAGGTTAAGGTACATAGATATATTTTTTTTTCTGAGACAAGTTCCTGTGTGGAGGATGAATAAATGACAAGGAATTCAACCTCACCGTAATAATTATTATATTGTAGTGATATTATCATGGGACAATCATTTGTTATCAGTTTAATCTAGTTTGTTGTTATATATATTATATTAATATTTGTATAACAGTTATATCTATAGCAGATCATCTTAATGACTCTACCGGCAAATGTCCATCCATTTATACCATCATTATATTCTACTATTCTAATGATAGTGCAGTGTAAGTGCATGGTGGACACTTTTCAGTAAAATAATAGGTTTGATTTGAGTAAGCATTCATACTTCTCCCACTGTCGTTGCAAAACGTCCTCGAGATATTCTTCAGCATGCGTAACATAAATTTTCGGTATTCATGATTTGTTACTGATATATATATATATTTCTCACGACAAAACATTTTCATATCATTTATCTATGTTCTTAAAAAAATATTTTCATGAGTATTCATTGAACAAATGAATTTATAACAAGCGATGAGGAATGTTATTTTGCACTCGATAATATCCGCGTATTTATACGAAATACGTTCGGTTATCAGTCAAAAGCGCAAGGGACGTATGCAGAAATTTCTCCGGCAACATATTTGATTTTAACGATCTAGAATTCTGGTATTATAATGCTTTCACTAAACTGATTTTATTGCACGTTGTTTTCGTAGCTTTTGTAATTCCACTGAGTGAAGGTGTGAAATCTATAAAAAAAAAATGTTTTGCACCGTCAAAAGATTATCTTCTTGACATCGAAAACTAATTTCCTTTTGAATGTATTTTGAAATAATATTCAGTTGTAAATTTCTGTTAGCTCATAAATACGGATTAAACAAAATTCACTGAAATATAAGATTTTTTTTTACTTTTAACAGTTAAAGACTGCATGTTATTGTAAGACCACCTTAACGACAATCGTTTAACAATCGTGTTGTCATTTTTTTAAAATTTGGCATCGATGGCAGATCCTTGATAGTGTCTGCTAAAAATATTTTTACAACTTTCTTCATTTGGGACAATTTTAAACTTGGCATACAGCTTAGAAACATTTCATTTGTTGGACACCTTTGAATGTATTTTGTGCTTTTTTTGTTTGGTACCACCTTAACTTAAGATATCACACTAATGTACGATAACCATCAAGATCATTTTAAGTACATATCGAGAAGAAATGAGCATATATACCCTTTAGAACACTGCGGTCCCCAAGGGTGAGTGGGGAATAGAAATATGGTCAATTTGGTCTTATTCCGACCGGTAGTGAAAGTTTAATCCTTGCCAAAATGGGGTGTTCGTTTGGCTGTGCAGAATGTATAAGTACACAGCCACATCTGGGGACGTTAAATCCGATTCCTCGTGCAGAGAGGGTACCACGCTCTCTGCATGCTAAGAACCCTTGCAACAACTCTTTGATACCCTCATTTTCCATTGGCATTCCAAATTTCCCCGACCTTCATCCTGGAAGGCCACAATTACAGGACCTACCTATCGTTTTTATTGTTAATTTGTTCTCGTCTTGAATATGCATGAACTATTTGCCACTGGAAGTTAAGATAACGTCAATCAGGTAATTATTATTACACTGCCACGATATTATTTGAAGTAAGACTATTATTTATACAAACATAACATTAACAGAGTGGAAGTCACTTATTATATCACTTATGCATTGTATAAATGCTTTTTTTGTTGTATAAATAGCTTAAATGCTTCTTTTATAATTATTTGCATTACTGTGTGAAAATAAGATTTTGATATGTTTTCGTTTTTTTATGTAAATATATATTAATAATGTTTGAAAGAATAGGTCAGTTAATTTTTCGTCAAGGCAAGATAATGAGAAAATAGGTAATCTTGGAGTATTGGAATATTCTGATATCATGTGAATGTGAAACGGAGTGGCAGTATGTGAAATAGTCAATAAACATTTTTTAAAACTTCGAAGTGCTTAATTTATCCTATTGACAATTTGTTTATTCGGTTCCCGAATGTGGTGTTACAACTAAAATGCTGCCAGAGCTGTTCTTTTTCTCGTCTTGAATCGCAATCACCAGTATGACTGTTTAATCGTCAATTTTATCTTTGGTTTGTAAATTTGTGCCAAATTAGTGTCCTTTCTCAAGACTTGCAATAAATTTACATGTACATGTCTATTTATAATTCATGTATGTAAAGTTTTTTTTTATCAAAACGATAATATTATTATGACTATAACAGACTTGTCAACGCTCTCACTTTTATTTGCAGCGTGTAAATTAGTGCCCAGAATGGTGTCCATCAGTCTGACCGTAAACACTTTGTTGAGCGTAGGAATAGCATGTCTATGCATCGTAACCATGGAAGCACGACCTACAGACCACGATGGTGATTTAAATGAACTGCTACGATCGTACTATGTAGACAATTATTCTGAAATATCAAATGGTCTCACAGATGGAAATGATCTTAAAAATTCTCAAATTAAAGGTGAGTGATTGGTACTTTTCGATTGAATGAAAATTTAATTTATCTCTTGTTTTTTTCTTACCTATTCATATTATTTCTTAAATACTGATCTAGTACCATTCAGTTGCCGTAAAATGTCTGTTTAGCCAGAACAGAGGAAAACATGTCAAGCTGACCAAATATATTGATTTTGTCCTACGGAGTACATTGTATATTGCTGCTATTCAATTTTGAGTTTTCATTGTATGCCAATTTTTGAAAATTTATTCTTCTTATTAAGCAAGATCTTTAGAGTTTCTTGAATCAACTTCTTCATAAGGCGATGGCATCGAGTACATGTACGCATGCGTTCATAAAACAGAAAATTTGGTGTTCACCTCAAGCAAATTAATTTTATGAATAAGATAGCATTCGCATTTGACTGCAAATGACAACGGTAAAATGTCTGTGCACGTGTTTTATTGCGCTTATCCTTGACCGTAATGAATAGGAAAATAACATGTCCGGTAGTTGCCAGCTTTCAATATAATTTACCTATAGCAAAAAGATTATAAACAGGAAGATAAAACATAATCAATTTACTGCATTCGAAGTAATGTTCTTGATACGATATAAAAGTACTGTTAGTGAAAAGAACTAAAATGAACGCATAGCTTAGCGTTTGAATGCGTATCGAGTCACCTCGTATTTGCACAATGTTCAATACGAAGTATCACGTTTGTGTTTATTTCTGACTTCTATACAAACACACACACACACACACACCCTTACACACACACATTAGGACTGGTATATACCATCATATCATTCATGGTTTTCGTGCATCATGATGCTAAATTAAAGAGTCTACTTGGAAACGGTCTTCTTTTTTAAAGAATTGTTTTGCCAAATTTCCTACTGTGAAATTAAAGGGAGAATTCGAAAAAGAAGTGCGTAAGACAAGCGAAGCCTATTGACGTATCTCTTCGTCACGATGCAGGAGATACAAACGACATTTACAAAAGAGTCAAAACAAAACGCACCTTAAATGTCAGGCCAGGTCCGTATAAGGTCAAACTTTGCCTGTGTATTTTATGTTAGTTGTCTAAGAGCTACGGGACAGTAACTGTTACATACAGTCCATGAACAGTGGTATCAACACAGTGTACAAAAATGAAAATAATTCATACAGAATTAGTTGTGTTCGAAAAATATTTATTTTCGTTTTTATTTTTGAAAAAAAAATTCTTCCCAAACGTCACGAACGCCTCGTTTGTAAATGAAAGTTTAACGGCATTAGAAGAGACTAAACCAAAGGGTTATAAAGTATTATCATTACAGTCTAGTGCCTTTGAGAAGGAGGTTTTTTAAACTTTCAGTTTTTTTTTTAATTTATGAAAAGTAATCAAATAAGCGATTCGTTCAATAAAAAATGTACTTGTACAAAATCTCTTACGAATCGTAAGCTTTATATCAATTAAAAGCACGCTAATTATACTTTTATTGTTAATTTGTCTAAAATAAAATGACCTTTCGGGAAACCATATTTAACAAATTAATTGCTTCTTATAAAGCTTGCTAAAGTTATCTTTTCATTCTAGATTCGATATTTTATTGCAATGTGACACTGCATTAATTGATAAATTAATGTTACACAATCATCTATTAAATAGTTACTACTAATAACTTTATCCAACAATAAGATATCAAATGCCACATTAAAAACGCCCGGATTTATTTAACTTGTTCCTCCATTAACAAATTTTATTGCCGATAAATAAAATACGTCTATAGTTAAAGCTTTGTTGGCTCTTTTTCCAGATTGCAATTCCAATAACGAATTAAATATGGTTGAAGATATCTGACTACCCTTTTAACGGTATCCGACCAAAACTGACCACGTGATTAATTTAAAAGACCCGGATGTTGTGTGCAAAGCAATCGCATGACCTCGAGTTTTAAAATGTTTTACAGTACTTTCCACTATGAAAAATTACAAAAGTCTAAACTAGATTGCCATTTTGATTATGATATATGGGTACCGTAAGGAATGATCTCTTTATTGCATAGAGCGGGATTAAAATTTATTTGAGAATTTAGACACCAAACAGATAATGTTCTTAATTGTAAACTGTGGTCTACCTTGCAGGGAAAAATCACTTTCATTTAACTCTCTCGAGCTATATTGTACTCTACGAATTCAATTCAGTATTAATCGTCGCTGAAATAGTTTAATGTTGTTTGATTGGTGTAAGATTAGTATTTGACAAAAAATGCTGACAAGTTTCCCTACATGCTACTTTTAAGCGATTTGTTTTTACTCAACATCGGTTTTAATCACTGACCACAACGATCAGTAGTCCATGTGAAGAAGCGAATGTTGACCACCCGAAGCACCCGAAGAACCCATATAACTTCCGGTTGAAACTCATATCTTCACTTAGATACTTGTACTCTTTGTTCGTTTTTAAGACATTCATCTGGTTGCCTCACCTCGGTCATTAACAGCCAAATGTTCTCTAGATCTTCATTTCGACTTTTGATTGATTATTATCCCCCCTTACTACAATTACTTGACCACAACGATCAGTAGTCCATGTAAAGAAGCGAATGTTGACCACCCGAAGCACCCGATATAACTTCTTCATTTCGACTTTTGATTGATTATTATCCCCCCTTACTTCAATTATTTTACTTTATGTATCTAGTGTCAAGTAAGCTGCCTTGTGCTTTAGGGCTACTGTCAGCTTGAGTTATTTATTTGGTTTACCAAAAAAAAAGTCCGAACTACCAGTGTCCAATTTGGAAAGGGTGGTAATGCACTCGATAACACTCTAGGGAGTGATTGTCAAAGAAATAAAGAATAATCTTGCCAAAACTGTAAATGATCTAGGCGATTTGAAACTTGATTACGCAGAAAGCCATGCATGTAAAGTTCTTTATTGTTCAATATGTTCTTAACTGGCCATTAAAAGAGGATTGCGTCAGTAAGAAATTTCTAATATGTTATAGAAACAGTCCTAATCATATGATTTCAGCAATCGAGACATTCAATTGCTATGTTGATCGTGTTTTGTGACACTTCAATAGTGATTTTCGACTTCTGTGGTCGTTTATTAAATTCAAAACTGCTTTTAAAAAACAAATTTAATTCCTTTTCATTCTGAATTCTTATTTCCAATAAATAAAACTGGTCATAGTGCATTAAATTGAATTTTCCGTGGTCTATTAAATGTAGATTTCGTTTTATTAACTTGTTAGTTTTGAAAATCACCAAAAATCAGTCAGGAATTGTCAAATCTAAAAAAGGAAACATTTTCATTTAATACTGCTGATTTACATGTTTTTTTTCTATAGGTTTTAGTAGCTTATATTGAATTCAAATAACAGCAACCATTTCTTATAGAACTTGAACAATAATCTTGAATTAAAATATATCTTTTCCTTTGGTTTTACATAACTTGCAATCTCTTTACTAGGATAAATAGATAAAAATTCCGTCAGACTGTCAAAAGTGTCATCATCTTTGAATATAATTATCAATATAAATCTTAACAGGATGAGGAGGAAAAGCAGGGATAAAATTTATTAATACTTCGTTAGTATCAACATTTTCGATTTCTATAAATGCATTTGAATAACAGCAGTATTACAGTGTTATCACTATTTTGTGTATTTTTCCTTTGATCTTTTTTTGTGCTAATTTTTCATATCATGCTACTCGCTTGAGATAGAAAATTATCGCTATTGTCAATGTAAACGTCGTATGCAAAATAGCGATAAACATATATTCAATGGTCTTTCAACTCGATGATGTTTCTCGACCACATCTATTCTCACCTGGCTATCGCCCTTCGATAAGATTGTAGCTGAGAAACACCCTCTCGTTTGAACAACCATCGATAATCTATAATTAACTATTAACTTAAACTTTAATACAAATTGGATTGAATCAACACCTATTGCTTAAAGATTACTAGAGACGCACTGATATTTATGTTAGTATAAATAAGAAGATGTGGTATGAGTGCCAATTAGACAACTCTCCATCCAAGTCACAATATATAAAAAGTTAACAATTATAGGTCAAAGTACGGCCTTCAAAACGGAGCCTTGGCTCACACCGAACAGCAAGCTATAAAGGGCCCCAAAATGACTAGTGTAAAACAATTCAAACAGGAAAACCAACGGTCTAATCTATATAAAAAACGAGAAACAAGAACCACCTATGAACCACACCAACAAACGACAACCACTGAACAAAAGGCTCCTGGCTTAGGACAGATGCATAAAAATGCAGCGAGTTTAAACGTTTTAACAGGCGCCAACCTTTGTTTAAACTTGTCTACAATACAGTTGAAAGGAATAATGTAAGGTTTGGTGACTTTATTGGTATCATCTAACATACTTAAGGATGTACTTAGGTGATCTAAGGTAAAATTAAATAAATCAAGAATTCAAAATTGATACTTTAAGATGGAAGAGTATTAGTTAAGGATCAAAATAAGCTAAAAGTATTGATAGGTCATGGAGCTCCTTTTCGAGATATTTGATTTATGAAATATGGCGGGAAGAGGCTGACTCTGACTTTTACCTTATATTTGCATTGGTATTATTTGGGTCTCAAATCAGAAGAAAGAAAATCAAGAATCTGCTTAAATTTTGTCAAATGACCTTTTATGAGCTATTAATTCTTATGTTAAAAGATAAATAGGTGTTATGGGGCAAAATATTTTACCTTATATTGTATGGAAAAAAACCGAGGAGTCCGAACATTTAACACAAATTCCAAAACCTCACCTAAGTACACCCTTAACGTAAAATATAAAACACACACGGCAGTGTTTGCCTCATAACTTTACTTAATGAGTTTGCTGTTTGCTTAAATCAAAATTAGTTATTTTTTACAATGTGACTATATCTAAGTACTTTCTTGGGTTAAATGACTAATATTATTGTTTCAAATGGACAAACTTCAAATATATTACTGCCATATTTACTGTACGGGCATTTGATACCCTGATATACATGTATCTTAGAAA